CATCATTCTTGTTCAGTTGTTTCAACATGGTTTCAGAGCAGGTCCTTCCTTAGTACCGACTTTTTGTTAGGGCCCACCACAGCGCTGCCCCACTAGCTGCCTTGCCGCCCTGCCCTACCTGACGTGCCGCCCTGCTGGCCCGTGCGCCGCCCTTTGCTAGCCCGTCGCGCCGCCCCTTACAGCCCGCGCGCCGCCTTTAGCAGCCCGCTCGCCGCCCCTACAGCACGCTCGCCGCCCCAGCAGCCAGCGTGCCGCCCCTGTAGCCCGCTCGCCGCCCCTACAGCCCGCTCGCTGCTCGCCTGCGGCCCGCTTGCCGCCCTTGCAGCCCGCTCGCCACCCGCTTGCGGCCCTCTTGCCGCCCCTTGCAGCCCGCGACCGCTCTCTGGTGGCCCGCTCGCCGCCCCTTGCAGCCCGCTCGCGGCCCGTTGCAGCCTGCGCGCCGCCCCTTCCAGCCCGCTTGCCGCCCCTTGCAGCCCGCTCGCCGCCCCGTGCAGCATGCGCGCCGCCCCTTGCAGCCCACTCGCCGCCCCTTGCGGCCCACTCGCCGCCCCTTGCAGCCCGCGCGCTGCCCTCTGGCAGCTCGATCGCCGCCCCTTGCAGCCCGCTTGCTGCCCTCTGGCAGTCCGCTCGCCGCCCCTTGCAGCCCGCGCACCGCCCTCTGGCAGCCCGCTCGCCGCCCTTTCTGCTGGCCGCCCTAGCCGTGCGCCGCCCTGCCCTGCCCCGTGCACTTTCCTCGTGCTCGCGCGCCACCATACCTGTGTGCTGCTCTGCTAGTCGCATGCCACCCTACTCTGCTTGCTATGGCTTCTCTCAGTGTACTCACGTTCGATCATGAAGGCCATCCGATCCAGTTCGATACGTGGCTCGACAACTTACAGCTGTATGTACTTAGCGATTCTAGAGACAGTGTTTCGTTGTTTGACCACACCTCTGGAGCCTCTCTCGCCCCTCCCGCCACAGCTGACAGTGCGACTCGCTCACAGTGGCTTACCCGTGACGATGCTGCTCGCTTAGCCGTTTGCAACCATCTGCCGTTAGCCGAACGCGCTCACTTTGGTCAGCAGAAGACTGCTAAGGCCCTGTACGACGCTGTAGTCGCTCGTTACTCTTCCCCTGCCATTGCTGCTCTCGGCCACCTTATACTGCCCGACCTGTTTCTCGAGCTGTCAGCCTTTGCCACAGTCGAGGACCTCGTTACCCACCTTCGCACTAGCCTCGCTCGCTACCGCTCTGCCCTCCCAGCCAAGTTCCTAGACAGGACCCTGTCAAAATAGTAGGTGAGCCAAGGCTTAGGAGGAACCGTGGCCAAGGTGAATGTCGAGAGGAAAAGTAGAGAAGGGATGTTTGCACTATAGGAAAAACAGTACATATAGGCAAGAGATAGGGGTGCACCACCAACAAAGTATGAACCTACACTACAGTTAATGCAAAGGACAGTTTATATAAAATATGTTTTCAACAGACCCCCCCCCCCGATGTACATCACTCTCTACTTCATAGTCACACGCCTCCCTGACTCTCTTTGCGCAGTCAAAGACCACTTTCTCGCTCTTGACCCCACCGACCTCACTGACGACCTGCTCGAGAAGCACCTCCTTGCAGCTAAGACTAGTGTGGTCGCTGTAGGTGCTGCTCGTGGCACTCCTCGCACACCATTCTTTGAGGGGTGCTCCCCCTCCCCCCTTGCCCCCTCCTACGCTTCTGCTGCTGCTGTTGACATCCTTGGTGTTGAGGATGTGTGGGCTGCTTCTGCTCTTAGTGGGAAGCGCCGCAGCGGCAAGGGCAAGGGTGGCAACAGTGGTGGCGGTGGTAGTGGGGGTGGTGGTGGTGTAGGCTGTGGAGGCGGTGGAGGTGGTGGAGGTGGTGGCAGCGGTGGGAGTGGTGGCGGGAGTCGGGGCTTTGGTGGCAGCGGTGGGGGTGGGGGTGGCGGTGGTGGCAGCAGTGGGAGTGGTGGCGGCAGCAGTGGTGGCGGTCGGGGTGGAGCTGTTCAGAGGGGAGGTTCTGGCGGTGGCCAGAGGCAGCAGCAGTAGGGTAAGAGCGAGACCCCTACGCCTCAGCAGCTTCGTGACTGGTTTGCTTAGCGTGGGGCGTCTGGGGGTAGTGTTCGTTGCCCATATGTCATTCTCACAAGTGACCGCGCCGGTCAGACATGCGGGAAGCTTCACACTGAGCACCGCTGCTTCTCCTGCCTTGACGACGCTTGGCGCGCAGAGTTTGGAGACGAGGCTGAGCGCCCCTGCTGGGCAGAGCTGCTTAGGTCTGGAGTTGATATCTTTGCTCTTGACTATGATGCTATCCTTGCTGCCATGTATGCCTTGTCTGTTAGTGCTGAGGGTGACTGTTACCTGTGTGTGCTGCCCGACCCAGGTATAGAGGCTGCTGCTCTAGGTGCTAGTGAGTCTGCTCTCCCTAGTACTGCGCCTGCTGAGGCCTAGCACACCTTTACGCTTGAATCAGGTGCTTCCCGTTGTTTCTTTTGCGACAGTACCACCCTCACTCCACTCCCTGCACCTGTTCCGATCAGACTGGTTGACCCCTCAGTGGGCCCAGTTCTTGCCCGTTCTTCCACTGTTCTCCCGTGTCCGGCGGTTCCGTCCGGCTCACTCTCAGGTCTTCACCTCCCCTTGTTCTCTACAAACTTGGTGAGTACCGCTGCCCTCCAGGATGCGATGGTCACTACCACCACTCCTGGGGGTCAGCGTGTGTCGATCTGCACGTGTACACGGACGGGCCGTCACCTGGCCACGTTCACCCGTCGGCCTGGGTCGAGTCTGTACACACTGACTCCTGAGCCTCCTCAGGTAGCTGTGTTTGCTCAGGTATCCGCGTCAGGTCCAGTAGCAGCCCCCTGCTTGTGTCGCCTCCTGTCGCACCAGACTCTCCTGTGGCACCACCACCTTGTTCACCCCTCCTTGCAACGCCTTCGTGGCATGCACTCCCGCCTCCTTGTTTCTGGTCTTCCTAGGTCTCTGCCTCCCCTCCCACCCTCGCCTGCCCCGCCCTGCCTTCCTTGCGCCGAGGGGCGGCAGCGCGCCGCTCCTCACTCCTCGTTTCCCCCGACGACAGCTCCCCTGCAGACTCTCCACATGGACGTGTGGGGCCCAGCCTGCGTCAGTGGACAGGACCACGAGCACTACTTCCTGCTGGTCGTTGACGAATACAAGCGTTACACCACAGTCTTTCCCTTGCGCAGCAAGGGTGAGGTCCCTGATGTCTTGATGCCTTGGATCCGCGCAGTCCATCTCCAGCTCCGCGAGCGGTTCCGTGAGGACCTTCCTGTCCTGCGTCTGCACTCTGACAGAGATGGTGAGTTCTCCTCCGACCTCTTGCGGGAATTTTGTCGTGGGGAGGGCATCCTCCAATCGTTCACACTTCCGGCCGCCCCGCAGCAAAATGGGATTGCTGAGTGCCGCATTGGCTTAGTCATGGAGGTGGCTCGTACCTCCATGATCCATGCGATTGCTCCCCATTTTCTGTGGCCGTTTGCGGTCCAGTACGTTGCGCATCAGCTCAACCTTTGGCCCCGTGTCTCCTTGCCGGAGACCTCGCCTACACTGCGTTGGACGGGGAAGGTTGGCGATGCGTAGGTGATCCGGGTCTGGGGCTCTCGGGCCTTTGTTTGCGATACTTCCGCGGACAAGCTCTCCCCCCGCGCTATTCCCTGCGTCTTCCTTGGCTTTCCCCATGACTCGCCTGGCTGGTAGTTTTACCACCCCACCTCGCGTCGTGTCCTCCCCACTCAGGACGTCACGTTTGACAAGTCAGCTCCCTTTTACCATCTCTTCCCCTACCGCACTGCCCCTCTCCCCCCCCCCCCCCCGCCGCTTTTCTTTGCTCCAGGTCCCCCTCCGATAGACCCCCTCCCCCCTCAAGGTCCTGCTCCCTCAAGTGTGTCTCAGGTCGACCCACTCCCCGGGACTGTGCGTGTCGAGGTCGGTGTAGACTCAGGTGCTGCTAGAGGTGCTGCGACTGGGGGTGATGCGTCTGGGGGTGCTGAGCCTGCGCGTGCGGAGCCTGGGGGTGCTGAGTCTGAGGGTGCGGAGTCTGGGGGTGCTGAGCCTGGGGTTGAGGAGCCTGGGGGTACTGAGCCTAAGGGTGCGGAGCTTGGGGGTGCTGAGTCTGAGGGTACGGAGTCTAGGGGTGCTGAGCCTCAGGGTACTACGTCTGCTGGAGGTCCTGCGGGTGCCTCGCCACGACTGTATCCCCGACGGGAGCCTCTCTCACCGCAGCAGTTGCGCGAGTGTTTTTCTCAGCGCACACGCCTTTGGAGTGGCGTTGCAGGAGCTGGAGGCTCTGCCGCTGGAGGCACTGGAGCTAGTGGTACTGGAGCTACTCTTCTTGGAGGTGCTGGAGTTACTACTAGAGCTGGAGGTACAGGAGGTGCTGGAGCTGCAGGTCCTGGAGGTGCTCGTACTAGAGGTACTGGAGCTGCAGGAGCTGGTGGTATTGGAGGCGCTGGAGCTGGAGACCCTGGAGCTGGAGGCACTTGCGCTGGAGGCGCTGGAGCTGGAGGAGCTGGAGCTGGAGACCCTGGCGCTGGAGGCGATGGAGCTGGAGGCACTGACGGTGGAGGAGCTGGAGCTGGAGGCACTGGAGCTAGAGACTCTGGAGCTGGAGACACTGGAGCTGGAGGAGCTGGAGCTAGAGACCCTGGAGCTAGAGGCACTGGAGCTGGAGGCGTTGGAGCTGGAGGCACTGGAGCTGGAGACCCTGGAGCTGGAGGTGCTGGCGCTGGGGGTGCTGGAGTTGGCAGTACTGGTGCTGGAGGCACTGTGCAGCGGCGACCGTTTTTCGTTCCGCCACCGCCGTCGTCTCTGCCGCCACCTGACTCGGTCCTTCGCCAGGTTCTTTGTCTCTCGTCTTCTACTGGCCTTCCACCTAGCTTACTGTGTCCACCGCCTCACCAGTCGCAGCCACAGTTACAGCCAGACTCCCCACTGCCTGCTCCTTCTCCTTACGCTGAGCAGACAGACTCTTTTACATAGCGTCATGAGCCTGAGTCTTGTCCTGCCTCACCTGTTTGCACTGTTCGCACTGGTCGTCGTGTTCCTCGTCCGCGTCCTCCTCCTGTACCCGGCACTCACATTATTGCACTTCGTCCTTCCTCTGTTCCACTGCGAGATCCCCTGCCGCCTCCTCCTGCGTCCTTTTTTCCGCACGTTCCTGACCCTGTGTCTGACTTAGCTCGTGCTGCTAGTCCTAATGTCCCACGTCTTCTAGCCACTGTTGTCACTGACCCTTCGTTTGAGTCCATTGATGCGTCTGCCCTATTTGCTAAGCTTGTTGACTTTGCTGCCGCCTTTCGTCTCGACTACGCCGCTAGTCTTGCTGCTGAGTCTGATTGTCCTCCGTCCGTCGGGGGTGAGTGTGCTCTTGGCAAGATCGTTCTTGAGGACAGGCAGGAGGAATTTGAGTGTCTTGCATCTGCTGTACCTCATCTCGTGGCCATGTTGCTTGCACCTGAGGGAGACCCGGATGCACCACACATCCCGGCCCCGCGCTCTTACGCAGAGGCGATTACGGGTCCCTACTCCTCTCAATGGCAGATAGCCATGGACGTAGAGATGGCATCCTGGAAGTCCACAGGCACCTACGTTGACGCAGTTCCCCCTTCTGAGGCGAACATAGTCGATGGCATGTGGATTTTCAGGGTGAAGCGGCCGCCGGGTTCTCCGCCTGTCTTCAAGGTTTGTTACCTTACACGAGGCTTCAGACCGACAAGGAGTTGAGTTCTTCCAGACCTTCTCCCCTACCCCGAAGATGACTACTCTTCGTGTGTTGCTGCACGTCGCCGCTCAGCGTGACTACGAGCTGCACTCTCTTGACTTCAACACTGCTTTCTTGCAGGGCAGCCTGCACGAGGAGATCTGGTCACGCTGCCCACCTGGCTTCATTGGGTTGTTTCCTGCAGGTACCCAGTGGAGCCTCCGGAGGCCATTCTACGGTCTCCGTCAGGCGCCTCGCGAGTGGCACGACACAGTGAGGACGACACTTGCGGATCTTGGGTGTGCTCCTTCGACTACTGACCCGTCGCTGTTTCTACGCACCGACACTTTGCTGCCGCCGTTCTACGTCCTCGTGTACATCGACAACTTGGTCTTTGTCACTGCTGACACTGAGGCACTGGCCCTTGTGAAGTCGGAGCTGCAGAAAAGACACACCTGCACTGGCCTGGGTGGGCTGCGCAGCTATCATGGCTTGCAGATCCCCGGGACAGAGCACGGTGCACCATCACCCTGACTCAGTCATACATGGTGCACCAGGTCCTTCAGCACTTCGGCTTCCGGTACTCCTCGCCACAGTCCACCCCTCTGCCTACCGGTCACTCGCTCTCAGCTCCACCTTCGGACGAGTCCGTAGAGCCGAGTGTCCCATATCCAGAGCTTGTGGGCTACCTCATCTACGTGATGACCTGCACTCGACCTGACCTTGCCTGCCCTCTTAGCATCCTGACACGCTACGTTGCGCCTGGGAGACACCGACCAAAGCATTGGGAGGCCGCTAAGAGGGTGTTGCGCTACTTGTGAAGTACTTCGGGCATGGGGCTCATGCTTAGAGGACGGGGTCCAGTTGTCCTCACTGGACACGCGCAGACGCTTCTTGGGTTGACGACTTGGGTACGCAGCGGTCGTCACAGGGTTACACCTTCAGCCTTGGCTCCGACTCTGTTTCTTGGCGGTCTACCCGCTCGTATTCTGTTCTCAGTTCCAGTTGTGAGGCTGAGATCTACGCAGGGGCCATGGCTGCACAGGAGTTACGCTGGCTCAGCTACCTGCTGACCGACTTGGGAGAGCGGCCTCGTTCTTCTCCAGTTTTGTACGTAGACAACAAGGCCATGATTGCCTTGTGTCAGGAGCATAGACTGGAGCACATAACAAAGCACATTGCTCTACGTTGCTTCCTTGCTCGAGAGTTGCAGCAGCGTGGTCAACTTCGTCTTGCTTACGTGGCCACTTGGGCCAACACTGCTGATATATTCACCAAGGCACTTCAGTCTGGTGATAATCAGCGTTTCTGTAATGTTTTAGGCCTTGTGCCTATTTTGCCTCACTTGCTCACTTCGTGACTTTGCTTATACTGTGATCCATATATATACCTGCATGCTTACACTTGCTAGGGTATGATCATTGTACTGGTTGTTCTCTTTTATATAACTCGGCATGTGAACTAGCCTTGTGGCCTTTTGCTTGTGCTCGGAATGTGCGGTGACTTCGTGATCCACCCTGAGCATGTGTAGTACAACCTAATTAGGGGTACAACCTAATTAGGGTTAGTACTTGTACCCAACTTTCTGTTCAATCCATCATTCTCGTTCATTTGTTTCAACAGATGCCTCTGCGGTGGGGGAAAGTACGCACGTCTTGACTCATGTTGAAGCCCCGGGCCCGACGTGCACGGAGGAATGTATGAAAAAACAGCGAGGAATGCATGAGGGATCATATGTGCGCGATGGACGAGTGCAAGGAGTACAAGCGCTTCAAGATCTGCAAGTTCCCCCCAAGATGCCGATGCCGAAGCCGCCGCCGCCTCCCTGCGAGAAGCTGTGCAAGATGCTTTATGATCACTGCAAGGAGCAAAACAAGGGCACCTGCGGGATGAAGTACAACACCTGCATTACGATCAACTGCGTTTAGTGAAATTCGGAGCACGTTTCAAGGCTATGTCAAACTATATGTTTGCGTTCTCTCTAGGCTATAGTGGCTTAACCTACAAGGCATACAACACTTTAGGGTTAGTACTTGTACCCAACTCATTCATAGTTCATTCAAACCTGCACAGTGATTCTGACATGGTATTCAGAGCAGGAAACCTGTTAAGTTTATAGGGCCCACCGAAAGTTCCGCTCATTCCTGCCCTTGCGCTGTCCGGCCCTGCTCGCACAGTGTTGCGCTGCCCTTCAGCTACTCGCACTGCCCGCCCCCCGCACGTCGCGCCCTGCTGCAGCCCACGCGTCGCGCCCTGCTGCCCTGCGCATCGCGCCCTGTTGCAGTCAACGCGTCGTGCCCTACTGCAGCCAGCGCGTCCCTTTCTGCTGCCCTGCGCGTCGCGCCCTGCTGCCCTGCGTGTCGCGCCCTGCTGCCCTGCGTGTCGCGCCCTGCTGCAGCCAGCGCGTCGCGCTCTGCTGCCCTGCGCGTCGCGCCCTGCTGCAGCCAGCGCGTCGCGCCCTGCTACTGCCAGCGCGTTGCGCTCTGCTGCTCCGCGCGTCACGCCCTGCTGCAGCCCGCACGTCGTACCCTGCTGCCCTGCGCGTCGCGCCATGCTGCCCTGTATGTTGCGCCCTGTTGCAGTCAGCGCGTCGTGCCCTACTGCAGCCAGCGAGTCCCGCTCTGCTGCCTTGCGCGTCGCGCCCTGCTGCAGCCAGCGCGTCGCGCCGTGCTGCCCTGCGTGCCGCGCCCTGTTGCCCTGCGCGTCGCGCCCTGCTGCAGCCAGCGCGTCGCGCCCTACTGCAGCCAGCGCGTCGCGCTCTGCTGCCCTGTGCGTCGCGCCCTGCTGCAGCCAGTGCGTCGCGCCCTGCTGCAGCCAGCGCGTTGCGCTCTGCTGCCCCGCGCGTCGCGCCCTGCTGCAGCCCACACGTCGCGCCCTGCTGCCCTGCGCGTCGCACCCAGCTGCAGCCAGCGCGCCGCGCCCTACTGCAGCCTGCGCGTCGCGCTCTGCTGCCCTGCGCGTCGCGCCCTGCTGCAGCCAGCGCGTCATGCCCTACTATAGCCAGCGCGTCGCGCCCTGCTGCCCTGCGCGTCGCGCCCTGCTGCAGCCAATGCATCACGCCCTACTGCAGCCAGCGCGTCGCGCTCTGCTGCCCTACGCGTCGCGCCCTGCTGCAGCCAGTGCGTTGCGCTATGCTGCCCCGCGCGTCGCGCCCTGCTGCAGCCAGCGCGTCGCGCCCTACTGCAGCCCGCGCGTTGCGCCCTGCTGCCCTGCACAGCGCGCGCCCTGCTGCCCTGTCCACCGCGCGCCCTGCCTTGTAGCCCGCGGCGCGCCCTGCTTGGTCGAGCCGAGCCGCCCAACCCGAGCCGCCCTGGCCAACCCGAGTCGCGCCGCCCTACCTCGATCACCAGCCCCACCGAGCCGCCCTACTGCTACTACTGCTGCTGCTGGTGGAGGTGCTGCTGGGAGTGCTGGGAGTGCTGCTGGTGCTTGGGGTGCTAGAGGTGCAACTCGGAGTGCTGGAGGTGCTGCTGGTGCTGGAGGTGTTGGACCTACTACTGACCGTCACTGCCTGTCATGGACACTATCACGGCAGTTGCGGCGGCTAGGGATGGACAGCGGCGATCACTGCCTCTCCCGGACGACCCCACCTGGGATCTTCAGCGAGCCCGTCCAGGTGGTGGAGGCTTCGGTTTTCTGCATACTGCACAGAGGCAGCAGAAGAGTCAGCAGGAGAACTTCTCCCGGCAGGTACTTAGTGAGTTGGTTCCTCAGCGATGTGTCACTGGTTCTGTTGAGGCTGCTGGACTATGTGCTAGTGAGTCTGCTGCCGCACTAGGTACTAGTGAGTCTACTGCCGCACTAGGTGCTAGTAAGTCTGCTGCTGCACTAGGTGCTAGTGAGTCTGCTGCCGCTCCAAATGCTAGTGAGTCTGCTGCAGATTTAGGTGCTCGTGCATCTCCCGCCACAGGTCCTTCCTCAATTGAGGCCTTGCACACTTTCACACTTGACTCAGGCACATCACTTTGCTTCTTTCGTGGCTATACCACACTCACACCACTTGCTGCACCGGTACCTGTCTCACTGGCTGACCCCACTGGGGGCCCAATAGTCGCACGAGCATCCACTGTCCTCCTGTGTCCAGCAGTCCCCTCTGGTTCTCTGTCAGGTCTCCACCTCCCCACGTTCTCGACGAACTTGGTGAGCAACGCTGCCATGCAGGATGTCTGGGTTGATACCTTTATTCCTGGAGGGCAGCGTGTGGCGATCTGTACGTACTCCCGGAGTGGCCGTCACCTTGCTACGTTCACTCGACGGCTTGGGTCTAGTCTGTACACACTGACCAGTGCGTCTGCACAGGTGGCTGAGGCAGGTCAGGTGGCTACGTCGAGTCAGGTGTCTGCGTCTGGTCAGCTTGCAGCGTCTTGCTCGTGTCGGGTACTCTCCCACCAGACTCTTCTCTGGCACCACCGCCTCGGTCACCCCTCCCTGCCGTGTCCCCGCAGCATGCACTCCCGTCTCCTTGTCTCTGGCCTTCT